TGAAATAAGTCACTACATGTAAACCAGACTTGAATGCAAAGTTACACTTAGCCTTCTAGAAGAGTGAGTATCTACAGAACTTGTTTGAAAATATTCCACATGGGAGATCTCTCTCCCTGCCCCCCTTTTTTGCTTTTCAAGACAGCATTTCTCTGTATAGCCTTGGCTGTCCAGGTACTAGCTCTTATAGACCAGGCTGGCCTCAAATTCACAGAGACCCGCCTGCGTCTGCCTCCTGAGTCCTGGGTTTAAAGGCGTGTGCCACCACCGCCTGGCCTTATCTCTCTTCTTACATTTAGACTTGTTGATATTTTGTATTTTGGAGGGTAATTTATGTTCCGTCTTTGGTTATTCTCTTTCCATTGGTTTCTCTTGCCTCATTCCTAGAATTACACCATGCTTTCAGACTTACTTGTATAGTTTATTTCCTGACTAATCCTTGAGTCAGCCATTTCTTTAAGGAGTTTAAATTCCTATGGAAGGAGATACTTAAAACAGCTCTTCTATTAAGGATGGATTCTTGGCTATTGATTATTGGATTATCACTGCTTCTAGACCCTTTCAGCTGGTGCAGGGATACAAAGCCATATGTATACCTGTACAAAGCCATATAACATATTTCTATATTTGTACAAATGCTTTTACATGTAACCAGCTATATGTGACCATGTTAGGCTAAATATGATACAAACTGTTGTCTCCAACACCATCCATGAGCAAGGTATGTCTCCCTGTTCATCTGCCACCTTGCTCATGGGTGAGAAGCTTGACTCACCATGGCCCACCATACATGCGACTTGATGCTCAGCTCTGGTATCTGTGTTGTGATTGGTAGCCTGGGCCACTGTGAGGCTACCTTTGTTATTGTTTGATGTTCCTTCTTTTATTTGGCTTATCAGTTCCATTCTTTCATTTTAAAAAGTGGTTTAGACCCCACCTTTCCCCCCTGCCATTCGAATATGACTGTTTCATTCCTTTGAAGGATCTTAGGCCACATTTTGCATAACTGGCCTTTGGGCAAGGAATTGCCCATGCCTCAACCACTGATAAAGCACATGGTGTCCATACTTGATAAGCGGGACACAAGGAAAAAGACTGGCAACCCTTGCCAAGACAGAGTAAGACAGTTCTAAAAATTTTCCTGCCTCTAAAAATGATCTGTCAGTTACTCTAGGCCTTAGCCAAAGTTGGTTGCTTCAACATTGCAAATGAGGCTTTGGGTGATTGTTCAGGTATTCCGTTGTCTTTATCATATATTACACATTTTGGAAGCTGTTTGATTGCACTTCCTGCCTACTCAAGTAGTATTATCTCCCTTCTCAGGCCTTCGATGGGGTTAAAGATTAGGTAGATATAGTTACCTTCCTCTTATGATTTAGCCAAGCCATTTCCACTACAAGACATAGACTCCTTAGGATAAAATGATTATTAAAACATTTAACATACGTTCCTTGCTTAATATTGTTTATGTTGGTTGTAATCCTAATTTTATACTTGATATCTGTTCCGAATATATATGTTTTATATTGAATTTGGAACTCCCTTATTTAGACAAAAGGGGGAGGTGATGGGAACCTCCTTCAGCCAATAACCTTTAAGAGGCTGGACCAGGTTAGGGCGTGACCTTTTTGGTACCCAGAGAAAAACTACCAGCCCGCTCAGGGTTCTCTCTCTCTGGTTCCTGTATCACACACCTGAAGTTGGACTTCTTATTCCTGTTCTGTGAGTTTACTCATTATAATAAAGAAATATGATTAAAATCTTTCGAAGTTATCTTGGGATTATTTGACTTGTGCTCTCACCCCCCTTTCCAGTAACAATCCTGGCTTATTTACTTATTGTTACACAAGTTCAGTCTTCATTCTGTAAGGCTCAATGGTTTGATAAGTACTTTGTGTTCTAAATCTATAATGACAGTATCTTACAGACTTGGTTTCACCACCTGACCCCCCTTCCCACCGAGCTCCACCTATTCACACCTCTCTCACATCTTTCCACTGATCAAATTTTGTCTTTTCCAGATGACACAGTGCATAGGATATACAGATGCACTCTCTCATCAGCAGTGTGTACTTAAGGTTCATCCATGTCTTTTTGTGACTTGATAGAGTTTTCTCTGTCTCTGCTGAGGAGGGTTGAACCTAGACCTTTGTGCAGAACAGGCAAATGCTCAATAGCATCTTTTTCAGTCACTGAGTAATATTCTAGTGCAGAGACGTATCAGTTTGTAAACCAGTCACCGTTGAAGGGCATTTTGGTTGCTTTCTAGCATAATGTCTATAACCTAACATCTACTTATCTTCCTACCTATTTGCCTTCTGTTAATCACATATCATTAATCTACCTACCTAACATGAGCATGTTTTTTGCATTGCTGGGTATTTAACTCAGGACTTTTCACATACTGTGCATTTTCCCCATTAATCACCCAGTCCTAATATCCATCTATATTTTTATATCCATCTATTTTTAATAAAACCTATGTTGTTGTTTTAACTGGATGAATATTTTGTCTGTGTGTATGTAAGTGCACCACATGAATGTCTGGAGCATGATGAGGTCAGAAGAGGTGGTCAGATCTCCTGGAACTGGAGTTACAGACAATTGTGAGCCACCGTGTGGGTGCTAAAACCACTGCAAGAGCAGCAAGTGCTCTTATTGGCTGAGTCAACTCTCCCAACACTTGGTCCCAGTATATTTTTTCTTAAACTCAAAAGAGAAAGCTTTGTTTTCTCCCTTACTAGAGGAAATTTAATTTTGGTTTTTTGCTCTAGAAGTACCACATAACAAGAGAGAATTACAGTGGTTAGGAACATACTCCAGGGTAGACCTCACTGTATCTGAGCCGTGTCGTGTCGTTGGGCAGCACAATCCTTTGGGTCCCTGTTCCCATGGAGATTGGTGGTCCCGCCTCCTGTTTGATTGTGAGGGCCCAAGGAGAAAGCCCCTGTAGATCATGTTGCTGCTTAGTAAAGCTTTGTGTACACCCTGTCTTTCAAACGAACCTGAGACATTTAAAAAAATGTCATCGCAGCATTATGAGATGCAATTCACGTACTAAGCCATCCATCTGTTGACCAATGCAGTAGTGCTTGCTTGGTGTCTTCAGATGTCAAAGGTTTTCACCCGGCATCGTCACGACTGTAAAATACATCCTGATTATTGACATGCAAAACAAACATAGAAACTCTCATAATGGAGCATCCGACTATGCCCTTCTGGGTGCTGTGACGTGGTGTTAAGTTCTGTAGTGAATCTCGTTGGGAAGAGGTGAGATGTATGTGTGGGGACCAAGGCGTCTGGCTGTTTCCACCGTCATGCTCCCTGATCCCAGGTAGGGTGCTGGAGGACGCATTTTTCTCAACAAGAGAACAAGAGAACAAGCAGGGAAAACCAAAGGGAACAGACAGGGTTTCCCCACAACAGCCGGCAGACCTCCAGAGGTCAGGATATCATCCCCAGAGACAGGCACCGGGGAATTTCCAGGACATCCCATACCATCCCAGGCCCACCTTCCTGTTTTGCCAGCAGGTGGCAGTGTGGTTCTTTGTAGCGAGCAGAGACCACAATCCTGCCAGGAAAGAGAGGTGAATTACAGATACCTAGTGGAACCCCGGGAAGACCCCAGGAAATCTCTGACACTGGGGCTGCCACATGGCTGCCACTCAGTGTCCCTGGAAAGCTCACTGTGCGCAGCCCGTGACTGTAGGCGGGTAGGGAGGAAGAGTTCATTTAATAGCTGAACTGAAGTGCCGGCTCTGAAGGGCCTTTCAGCGAGTGTGATGGAACCGAGCTGCGCACCGCGTTGGGCCTGTCTGTCTCAGTGTGTGTCAGCTGTAGCACAGGGCTTATGATGTAAATCGTCACTGGGAGGCATGTGCAGAACCTCTCTAATGTGTCCTGGCTGGGTCTTGGTCCTCTACTACACTGACATGCACTGCACGTGGCTTAGAATTGCCACAGTAACAGGTGAGTCCGTTTAGCTATGAGGACAGACTGATCACCTCTGACTCTGTGTACCATGGTCACCATGATGGAAAGTCAGGGTAGCATTGCTCCCTGTCCTTTTTATTGTCACCACCAACAATATCACCTTTCTCTTTTCCTCTGAGACTCCTTTGTCTGATCTTAACGGGGACACCTGGGGTGGACTCTATTCCCTACAAGGGGAAGAAGAGGCTGAAGGCTCTCTTTTGTCCTGCTCTCTCCTCTTTACATAAAGATGCACAGGTACCCTTGAAAGCCAGAAGAGGGCGTTGGGTCCCTTGGAGAGGGAGGTACAGGCATCTGTGAGCTGCTTGACATGTGTACTGGGACTGAACTCGGCTTCTGGAAGAGCAGCAAGGGCTCTTAGGCACTGGGCATCTCTCCAACCTCTAGCTGCAGAATCATTTCCTGTGTTTTCCTGGTGTGCATTTTGCTCTGTAGTCTCGGGTAGTCTGGCTAGCTTAGTGTGCTTGTGCTCAGAACCAACAAGGTCATAATCCTTTGCTGAAAACTCAGCAACCCAGTGGGTGGCCTGTGCTCTACAGTCAATCATCGATTTTAACTTTGGTCTTGTTGTCATGACATTCTGGGTCTGCTTCCCCTATTCCCACCTCTTTAGTCTCCAAATAAGTTTCCTGAGCTGTCTGTCTATCTTTAGAACTGTTTCCACCCAGGCCCCAGGGTAAATGGAGATTTCTTTATCCCTCTCCATCCCGCAGTTACTTCTGAATAATCACTCAGAAACTTAATATTCATTACAAGATACTTGGCCTATAGTTCTGGCCTAATACTAACTAGCTCTTACATTTGAATTAACCCATTTCTATTAATCTATGTATTGTCATGTGGCATCTTGCTTTTTGAGCAGTTGGCTTATATCTCTCCCTATTCTGCCCCTCCTCTTCTGAGTTCTCATTTTGATTGTTCTTAACCTTATCCTGTATGGTTATTGGTCAAACAGCTTTTATTGTTAACCAATGAGGGGAATACATATTCACAGCGTACAGAAAGATCATCCCATGGCATCCCAGGACCACGTCCATCCTTTGTCAGGTTGAATGCTGAGTTGATTTTGAGTTGTTTCTGCCACCCTGGTTCTCCTGATCTGGTATCCATTCTAAGAAACAGCCTGGACATCCAAATTCTCTTTCCTGTGTGAGATCGGCCTTGGTCTCCTGCTCAGTCCTCCTCAGATGACTGTGGGATTCTGTGGCAGAGGTACCAAGCTTGTGGGTGTTAAGCTGGCTCACCTTCACCATGTGGCCTTGGCCTCCTCCCCTGCACTCTCTACAAAAGTGCACAGACAAAGATTAGAACCCTAGCAGTCATTTACCTTGCTGAATACCTCCCGAGAATCCAGGTCCTTTAAAACACACTACAGTTTCAGCTGATCATTTTAAAACACTCCGATGAGGTGAGTGTTAATCACCATCCAATTTCACACAGCGAGGAGTTAGAGGCGAGAGAAAAGAAATGACGTGTTCAAGGTTGCACAGCCAGGAAACGATGGAGCCAGGAATTTCAGCTGGCATTCTGACTCTGGGGACTGGGCTGGAATCCAAGAGGCAGTATACACTCCTCACCCCACGTCATGGATGCCAGTCTCATGCAGGCAACTGCCATTTTCAAACTTGGCTGCAAGGCCTGGCGAGCAGAGGTGGCACTCTGGGTGATGTTGTTATGAAGGAAATTGGATTTGCCACGACTGGGTCAAGGGAAAGCAGGTGTTGGTATTCTAGTTGTCCCTCGACAGGGCAGTGGCAAAGAGTGAGCACAATGGACTGACAAAGTCCATACGAATAACCTACCTGCAGTACAAGTACAGATTTAGAGCACACACACACACACACACACACACACACACACACACACACACACACAACCTAGTGCTAATTGGCAGAAATGCTTCTCACTGCCTTGCAAAACATGGCTCATTAATTAAAATATAAAGTTCCCAATGACTTTAAAATTAAAGAGCTAAGACATGATATCTTATGAGGCAAACTCAAAGAGTAGTTATTTATGTTCTTGGATGACTCTTGCATCTGTTAAGTGGAAGGCAGCAAGGCGGGGCTTCTGTGTTACTGGGTGCACACTCTTATCTAATGTGGGTACTTAGTTCTTCACAGAGGAGGCTCTGAGCCCCTGAGAAGGGGAATGTGTTGTGGGTTAATCTCCTTGTACCCTCTAAAGATGTGTCTCTTTCTAAGGTGCTTTCTGATTGGTTTAATAAAGAGCTAAATGGCCAATAGCTGTGCAGAAGAGAATAGGCAGGATTTCTGGGGAGAGAGAGGAACTCTGAGAAGAAGAGAGGCAGGAAGATGCAAGTGAGATACAGAGCAAGTCTGATGTAGAGAATGGGAAAGAGGTAAAAGCCACTCGACAGGATGTAGATTAATAGAGTAGGTTAATTTAAGTTATAAGAGCCAGTTGGGAACAAACGGAAGCTAAGGCCAAGCTTTTATAATTAATAATAAGTCTCCATGTCATTATTAGGGAGATGGAGGTCCCAAAAGAAAGTCTTATGAGAAAGCTTGCTTGGGGATGTCCTCTTTCTAAGTCAAAATAAGACAGTGGCCAACCTGGAGATAGATCTCAACTCCATGGCTTAGCTTGGGGGCTCCTAGTCTTTGAGTAGACACATAGCTGGAGACTGTTCTAGTAAAGGATTCTCTTCTGGATGCCATGGGAGACCAGAGCACAGGAAGTCACTCGGTAAATTTGGAATGGTTGCTGCTGACACCGTCACCAGCCTGAGGCTCCCCATTCTCTCTCCTCTTCCCATCTGTGGGTCCTCTTATGAGTGCTTTGTTTTCACTATTTCTTTAGGAGGAGAGACTTCTTCCCTTCTTCAAGGAAAGGTCTCCAGCCCCTTGCCTTCTTGAGACTTCCCAACCCTCCTTGTTCTATGAATTACTCTGGCATTTGCATCTTTAGTCTTTCCTTCCAGAAGAGTCCCTTTTTTAATTTTTTAATATTTATTTATTTATTTCCGAGACAGCGTTTCTCTGTAGTTTTGGAGTCTGTCCTGTTTGTGTCACTACAAATATACTTTACATCTTTTCATTTTGAAAAAAAATCCCTTCTCTGGTCCTAGTGAATGAGTCGGCAGATATTCATGGTGTGTAAGATGCTACCTTGTTCAAGTTTAGTAGATCTTGCCTCTCTGAGGTGACTGTTGACATCAATGAGCTTTTTCATGATACTGAGTCCATCTTCATCTCCCCCAACCCTTCTCACTTTCTACCCTATTCACTGTCACCTAGCTCTTGTCATCATTACTATTTTATACCACCTTAGAATTTATTTATTTATTTTTTTCAGTAGAATGAAATAGTTCCACCTTCTACCAGTTCTTCTAGAACAGCAGTTCTTAATCTGTGGTTGCAAACCCTTTGGGGATTGAATAATGCTTTCACAGGTGTCACATATCAGATATCCTGAATACCAGATATTTACATTATGATTCATAAGAGTAGCAAAATTACACTTAGCAAGTAGCAACAAAAATAATTTTATGGTTGCAGTCACTATAGCATGAGGGACTATATTAAAGGGTCACAATGTTAAGAAGACTGAGACCACTGCTTTAGAAGAATTAGTACCTTAGCCTCTTTTGTATTGCTGTGAAGAAGCACCATGATCAAATCAACTCATAAAATAAAACATTTAATTTAGGGCTTGCTTAAATTTTCAGAGACTTAGTCCATTTTCATCATGGTGGGGAGCACGGTGCAAGAGAAGTAGTGGTGAGTTATATCCTGATGAGCAAGCAGAGAGAGAGAGAGAGAGAGAGAGAGAGAGAGAGAGAGAGCGCCTACGCCTGGCACAGAGTTTTGAAACCTCAAAGCCCACCCACAGTGATACACTTCCTCCAACAAGACTGCATCTCCCAATCCTTCTAATCTTTTCAAATAGTGCCATTCCCTCATGACTAAGCATTCAAATATATGAGCCTATGGGGGCCATTCTTATTCAAACCACCACAGTTAGCAATAGCCTTATAGCCTTCCATTTCATCTTCTGAAATGTACTGGTTTGAATTTTCTTTTTTTTGAGTCAGGATTTCTCTGTAGCCTTGGAGCCTCCTGGAACTAGCTCTTGTAGACCAGGCTGGCCTCAGACTCACAGAGATCTGCCTGCTTCTGCCTCCAGACTGCTGGGCTGATTTGGATTTTAAGCCTTTTGCTCATCCAGGCAGCCATTCACAGGGTCTCTTCTTTTTCTCACGTGTGCTGATTCCCGTGTTGGATTTATTGGTTAACTGATCAGACTCTGATAACAGAGATTTGAGTTAAAATCCTAATTTACAGATAAATTCAAGTCTCAGTTTCTTTATCTGGAATCCAAGGAACAGCTCTGCAGTCACGTGCTAGGGTGGCTTCAGGGTGCTGAGAAAGACTTCAACTGTTTGTCAAGGTTCCAGGGGCAGTGAGAGTACTCAGTAAATGGGGTGGTCCCCACTCTTATGCCCTTCAGAAGCCCCCTTCTTGATCTTGACCTGAGAGATTCCCAAAGATTTGACCTTGTTCTTGGATGCCTTCTAGCTCCTTCTCTCTCTCTCTCTCTCTCTCTCTCTCTCTCTCTTTCTCTCTCTCTCTTTCTCTGTGTGTGTGTGTGTGTGTGTGTGTGTGTGTGTGTGTGTATGTGTGTGTTGGAGCACACATGTACCTGGGTATAGTTTGGGTGAACATGCATGAATGTGGAGACTAGGGGTCAATATTGTCTTTCTCATCTCTTTATACTTTATTCTTCTTTATACTTTATTCTCTGAGACAGAGTCCCTCATTCACTGGAGCCCACTGCTTCAGCTAGATGGGTTGGTCCATGAACCGCAGGGATCCTCATGTCCCCACATCCTACTAGTGTGTGCCACTTAACTCAGCCTTTTTGCATGGGTCCTAGTGAACCAAATGCAAGTCCTTATGCCTTACCAACCAACTTGTTTTGTCTTGGTCAGCCCCTTCTTCATCTTATCAGTCTTCTGCTAACTTAAACTGTGGGATCCCTTGGATTTCTGGTCTTGGAGATTTAGCTTTGCTTTATGCTAAGGAGGGTGGGCCATGTGGCAGGCAGCCTAGCTCAAAGCACTGTAGTGGCAGATACTGTCCTTATCAGTTGAGTGTACTTGAGCATGGTGTGTCACCTCTTGAAGTCTTTGCACAACACAGTCGGTGTCTTTGTGATGACACTTGACAGGGTGGGCTGGCTTCATAGTGTGCTCCTGAGGGTTGCATGGGCTAAGCCAGTGTCTGGTAGAACCCAGTATACACCCAATGCTGTTGCTGTTCCTGCTTCTCAGTGCCCTGAATTAACTCCTTCTTTATCCACTCTCCTTTAGAAGAGTGTGGGGTTCATTTTTTTTCTCTGTGGGTCCCCCATACTCCCATCTCTTCTGCAGCTACCCTAGCTGTTTATGCTTTGGTGGGTGACTTCCTTCTGATATACTGAAATGCTCTCACACTGTCATCTCTTCCATGAGCATCTTCCCTTCTGAATTCATTTTCTGTGTTCCAAGCAGCTGGGCTTTTGCGAAGCCTAGTTTGGATCATGCCACTCTCTTGCTCTGAAACCCACTGTGGCTCCCTGTTAACCGTAGACCAGAGAGTAAATTCTGAGGTAGACCTTTTAACTTTCTGCATCTAGATCTCACCAGTATAACCGATTTTGTTCTGGTTTGCCTCTCTCTGCACCCGGTGATCCAGCTTCGGTGGACTTGGTCCTTCGTCCCCAAATCCTACCTTCATGCTTATTATTATGACGAGCTCTGTTTGAACATGAGGAATGTATTTTCTGAGACTGGAGCGGATGATCTTTCTTTTATTGTCTTGTTATAAAGATAGAACCTCTGCCCGCCCAAAGGCTGGTACAGGAGGTGGGTTGCCAGGCACCTTCTTGGAGATGATTTTAAATGTGGTGCTCCTGTTCCCTTAGAGACAGATATGCCTGTTTAGCAGCGAGAGGGGAACACAAAGTGGAAGTACATTGTCATTAGCCTTCTGGCTACCATTCCCTCCTCTCACCAGGCAGTTCTGACATTCTTCTTCTCCCCCTCCCCCGTCTCACTAATTTTTCATAGTGGTTTTGAAATCCAAATCCAGTCATGTCAATTCTCTGCTTAAACTCCTACAATGCTTCTGTGGCTCGTAAGCTGATGTTCTGGAAGGGAGGTAGAGGTCCGTGTGACCTGAAGCTGGCTTTCCTCTCTAGACTTCCCTCCATCTGTTCACTGACTCCGTAACCATCTTTAAAAATGCTTATTTTGAATTTAATTTTTGAGAAATTCC